GTTCAGTCTGCAGGTGAGCTGCTACACCTGCTGTAAACACACACACACACACACACACACACACACACACACAGTGTTGAAGGAGTCAAATGTTGTCGACCTTAATGTAAATCTTTCAACGGCTCGTTAGTGTAATGGAGGCGTGGTTATAGCAATATCTCAGGCTGTGGGGGAGGGGCCTAATATGAGACCTGTTCATGGGACCCAGAGATCCTGCAGACAGCCCTGTTCTCACACACACACACACACACACACACACACACACACACACACACACACACACACACACACACACACACACACACACACACACACACACACACACACACACACACACACACACACACACACACACACACACACACACACACACACACACACCGTCCCTCCTCGTCGTTCGTGTAAGTCGTCGTTAAGTCGTTGAAGCAGGCAGAGCAATTAACAGAGACTTTATTGTGACACCCAGCGGGCGGCTGATTATCGCTGAGAGTGGAGGATGAATGTCACTCAGTCAGAGCATGCTGCGTTCAGGGCCCTCCTCACACAATGTTTCCACTCAACCATGAACGTGTGTGAAGGAGGAAGACGAGCTCCTCATAATGGAGGCTCCCCCGGCGCTCCTTATCTCGGGCCTGCAGGAGGACCGCTCACAGATAAGACCCCCGCACCGACACATGTCCTCGTTGTAATCTCTTGTAGTACACGGTCAACTGAGAGCTCGTCAATGGGCTCTTTATAAAGAGCGGCTAACGCTAACACATTAGTCACAGCAGCTTTAGAGGGAGTCAACAGGTAGAGCGGCCAGACAACAGGTGGGATTCTCTCACACTGATAACATGCTTCATGCCTCGCTTTGACTCCTGCACCACAAAACGCTTCTCCTCTTAGTCGACTGCTGACGAGGAAACACACGTTCTTACTAAAGGCCTGAACATCTCACCGCCACTTCCTGTTAATTTATTAATTTATTATTAATTAATTTATTCATTTATATTTAACCAGGAAAAGATTCTCGTTGGGATGCAGGATCTCTTTTAACAAAAGAAAAACACTTTAACCGAGGACGAGACAAATTTACAAACCTCAGATTCAGCCGGAGAGGGAATGTTTGCCGTAAGTGACCGGGAGTGATTAGAGCGGTCAGTTTAGCGTGTTTTGACAGTCTCAGGTGAGTTCCACAAAACGGACAAAACATCATTCGACCTCCATAAACTCAGAACAACACATTTCACCCTGCAGTCTTTCTGCAAAACCCAAACTAACTGAGCGCTGAACGTGGAACTGTACTTTTTCAAGAGCGTCCTGGCCGAGACAGAAAGACAGACCCTCCTCTCCAGCCCCACCCTCTCCTCCAAATATGGTCACTTCTGGCTCCAGAAAACCAAGATGGCAACGCCTGTAACATCTAACATCGTATATTCAGCGTTTTCTCTAACGTCCAGACTTTATCAGCGTGTGGAGAGATGCTGAGGCTGGCACACAGCCTGAGTGAACAGATGCTGCAGAGGATCCCTGGGGGGGGCGGCGTGGGGGGGGGGCATGTTCAGCACACCTGGAACACAAAAAGAGATGTTCCCCCGCAGCTGGAGTCAACACAGAGCTTGTTAACTCCACCTGCGGCCTGACGGAGTGGAGACGTCGGCAGGAGAAGGCAGCTCATGTTTGTTTTCAGAGAGGATGAAAACGCCCGAGGTCAGATTCACAGGATGTTTCCACGTCGTCTCTCAACGTTCTCTAACGCCGTCCTCCAAATGATTGTTAAATGATTTTTAAAAAGTCAGAGTGAAATCACGAGAGCGTCACTCCCGTCGTCCCCATGGTTTCTGTTTAATATCACGGAGGCTTTTCACAACGACTGATTCTTAAACTTCAATTTGACTCTAGAAAAAAATCGAACAACATTCATAGCTGTGTTACCACAGTAACAAAAACAGACATCCTGGACATTTATTAAGGGTTCATTTATTGTTTTTAATTTACTAGAAATTGCAGAGAAACTCCTGCAACGTTTTTATGTTTGATGCGTTTCAGCCCTGCTCAGAACAGGCTGTTTCTGTGTCTGTACCTTTAAATATGTAAATGAGCTGTGTCTGACCACACCCCCTCTCTGGAAGGGCTTGGGTGTCTCTGGCTTTCTCGCTCCATGTCCTATTGTTTACGGTGAGAAGGCAGACTCAGAGGGCAGAACAAACACCTAGCTGTGGGAGTGTCACCCACCTGGGGGAGGGGTTACTGCCCTTTGTGATGTCATGAAGGGAAAATCTCCAAACGGCCTGTTTGAGCACACATTTTCTGAAGTGGCGGGTTTGTAGACAGACTAGAGACACATATTAGAGTTAGAGGAACATGGTGAAGAGGAGTTTAAATAATATGTGACCTTTAGAGTTCCTGAATGTCGGCTCAAGTGAAAAGTCCAGCTTAAACACATTGCGGATCGTTTAACGCTTCATGCTGCCTATGCCTTCATGCACTGTGGGATTATTTCACACCTCAGTTATATTCCTGGTCACAAGCAGCACGGACGACCACTGAGCCTCTGACGATGATGATGATGATATACACCAGAGCAATTCAAATCTTAGACATGAAGCCGATAAGGTCACATCATTGTCATGTTCTAAAAAAGGCAGACTTGTAAAGGTTTGATCATTTTATTAAGTTGGTTCTTCTTCAACTCGTTTCTTGTTTCAATCAGGTAAGATGTAAAGTGATCGACCCGGTGAGGATAAATTAAGTTTTCTAAAATTTAACCATATTTGTTGATTTTTCTATTTTATTCCTGACACACCGTGAGGCGTTCACTGTCTCAATTTGAAGGTACGATGATGCATTCAAGGACTTTAACGGGGAGCAGAAACGTGAGCTGCTGTGGAACACATCGTTTAGATTTTTATATTCAGACAATAAATCTTCACTAACGAGTCCGGCTGAGATCAACTCAGTGAATCCATTTATCTGAAATCTGTTTTTAATGTCTGAACCTGCAGAATAATTAATTATTATTTCGACAAACTTTAAAACACAGAAGAGTTTAACGTGACGTTTTCAATTAAAGAAACTTTAACAGTCGCAGAAACATTTCATGTTCAGCGGCGCTGGGGGTTTAGTGGTTAGTGCTCCATGTTGAGTTCAGGACTTTTTATAGGACAGAGGTTTCCAACCTGAGGAGCCGGGCCCGTTTAAAGGCCCCCCCAGGACTCTGAGGGGACCGGCCTGTTTAAACGGATTTCTGCGCTCGCAGTTTGACGGTAACCGTGACGACGTGATGATCAGAAGATTATTCGTCAGACGACTGATGGATTGATTTTAAAGTTAATGATCAGACTAAAAAGGTTTTAAAAAAATTAATTTAATTCATCATCGACGGTTTGTTCGTTTCAATCTCATCTGATTTAATGATTAATTGTTAAAAACAAAGAAGAAGAAAAAGGAAGCAGGAAATTAAATAAATTAAATCTTTACATTAATTTTTTTTATATACATGGTCGTGTGTTTAAAACTTTTGAGTTAAAGAATTATAATCATAAATGATTATTTTATTTTATGATTTCAGAACTTTTGATGCTGAATTTAACCTTTAAAATAAAATAATGAGTCCAGTTTTATGTCTTTTATTCAACTCTTTCATAATAAAATATTTAAAGTGATCATTTAGGGGAGCCGATGGCCTCATGGTTATGTCAGGCACCCGAGGTACGGAGACTATAGTCCTCATCGCAGCATATTTAAAGTGATAAGAGGGTTAGTTTAAGTCGACAATAATAATAATAATAATGATAATAATAATAATAATAAATGACTTTTTTGAGGTTTTTGATATGAAAGTTAATTTATTTGAATGTTTTAATTATTTGATTGAGGGTGTTGGAGGAAGAAGCTTTGAATAATTACTTTTTTCTCTGTGACTTCAGGACGATCTGTGATTTATAATATTAAAATAATAATAATAATAAAAGAGGAGGAGGGCAGAGTCTGTTAGAGGAGGATGGAGGTTTTAGGGATTATTTCTGTCTCTGGTTTGTTGTGCTGCTCTCGGCCCGGACTCTGAAAATAAGATTCTCTCTATCAGTCAGATTTTTTCTAGTTAAAGACATTTAGAACAAAATAATGACAGTTAAATGTTTTTTTTACCGTGAGGGACATCGTTTTTTTTTGTTTTCTTTTTAAATATTGGTACCGGAAGTGTGTGTTTTGATGTTCCTGACAGCTCATAATTATCTCTTCTTTTAAATGTTCAGTTTCTTGTGTCACTCAGTTAAATGATAATAATCATTAATCAGCGTTTTAAGAGCCGAGGTCCAGCTGATCGTTTCACTTCCGGTTTGTGTCATAAATAATACATTTGATTTTTAAGACTTGAAAACGTTTTTAGTTTTTTTTACATTAAAGGAACAATATCTATTATCATGAATTAATTAATTTTATTATGAGATGTTTCTGCCTCATTCCGGAGTCACTCAGTGGAAACACAATTAATTTAAAATGTTTATAAATTATAAACATTAATCCGCGTTAAATAAAATAAAATAAAGTATTTTTGTTGGAGCTCACAGAGGACAGGAAATAATCATCATCATGGTAAATATTATTATAATTATAATAAATAATAATAATAATAATAGAAATCTGATGTTTGTTTCGTTGATGTATGGTTGATGTTCGTTAGTTTCCCCCCCCCACACACCTCGTGATGAAGTTCCGTTTATTCCGATGTTTTTAAGTCTCACCTCCATATTTTAGATTTCTATATAAAGTTCATTTAATTTGATTATTTCCTTATTTGAAGGATTTTATTTATTTTAAATGTATAATTAAGAACCAGAAGATTACAAATTAAAAGTCCTTTCATAATAAAATAAAGATATTTGTTCTGTGACGCAGCTAATCGATGAATATTAATGAGGCAGATCAATTAATTGAGGAATGAGTGACGTCATAAATTAATGACGTGTCATTAATGAATTAATGACGTGTCATTAACGAGTGCACGTGGCCAGATGATCCATCATGGTGTTTTTATTAAATAAAAGTGCATCATTACATTTACCTGTCAGGTACATTCCACATATAAATAAAAACACGTCTGTACAGGTGCGTGTGCTGCGTTCACGGGTTCCCCCTAATCTGATGTGTCAAAGAGGCGTTCAGGGACCCGCTGAGAAGCAGGAGAAGTTTGAGTGAACTCAAAATAAAGTGTGAGCTGATCTGGGAGCAGTGGTCTGTACAAAAACATTTAAATTATTCTTTTCTAATCTCACAACTCACGGATTATTTACAAAAATAACCGAGCCGAGCCGGGCCGAGCTTCTCCGGCCTGTCCGGGTTTAGGCCTCTGAGAGTCCGATGAGCTCCTCGTGAGTCCGGCATGAAGCTCCGCAGGAAAACTAAAAACTCCTCAGTTCCTCTCGTTTCCACAAACAGAGTCCGAGTCACCGAGTGTCCGGGTCTCTGAGTCTCCGGGTCTGCGAGTGACCGGGTCTCTGAGTCTGTTAGTCTCTGAGTCTCTGAGTCTCTGGGTCTCCGAGTTAAGAGCTGTCGTTCTCCGATCCGTGCATCAGCAGCCCCGGGCCCGGTCCGGGTCCTGCTCCCGGTTTGTGTTTGTTGAGCAGCTGGGTGATCTTCTCGTCGTCCGAGTTCGGGTCTAACGGTTTGTTGTAGTCGTCGTCCTCGTCCTCGACGTCCGACCCCCCCTTCAGTCTCTCCGTCTCCGAGTCCTGCTTCTTCTTCGCGGTCGCCATCTCCGCCGCGTGCTTCTTCCGCCACTTCGTCCTCCGGTTCTGGAACCACACCTGCACGAGACACACACACACACACACACCGGGGTCAGGATTAACCCGGGTCAGGTTTAACCCGGGTCAGGTTTAACCCGGGTCGCGGTCATCCTGAGTATCAGGATAAACACATGAGAGCGGACAGAGTGAGGAGAGAGAGAGGGGAAAAAAGACCTAAAGATAAATAAAAGAACTGAGAAAAAATAAAAAATAAGTATGTTTATATTAATCTTTGTAAAATCTTGTTTTTAATCCAGGAGAGTTCCAAATATCAGATCCGAAGAAACATTTAAAACCATTCAGAATCAGATCAGATCACACACACACACACACACACACACACACACACACACACACACACACACACACACACACACACACACACACACACACACACACACTGAATTAAAAGTATAATTTTAAATATAAACATAAATAAGCAAAAGATGAGATGAGGAGCGGTGAGGTTAGCAGATTGATGAGGAGGATGCTATATTTACATAATATAACTGTATTTACATGATTCAGTTATTGAACAGAAATATTAGTTTGAATTAGTTATAAACAGTCTTATTCCCAGTGTGTGCTAGTTTCAGGGATCTTTCACTGACAGCTCTGACTCTCCTGTTTTTAAATCTGATATTTCATTTCTTTATTTTATAAAACATTTCAAATGTTCTGAACTCATTAAAAACACGTTAAAGTTTTTAATCTAACCTGTTTATTGTTAGTATTATTATTAGTATTATTGTTGTTGCTCAAACAAAACGAGAAATAAAAAAACCGAGCAGAAATATAAAAAATTGAAGGAAGTTTCATCAAACTGAGAATCAACACGTCAGACTCTGTTTTTAATTTAAATAAATGTTTAAATGTTTTAAATTAGGTTACTTAAATAATGTTTAAAATCTTTATTCCTTATATACATTTTTAACCTCTAAGAGTAAAAACATTAAGCCTTTGTTTCTGAGCCTGGATAAAAAAACAGACAAACACTTAAAAATAAAGACTTTACTTCAATTCATATTTATTTTATTGTATCTCATTTGAGTGTCTCTGTTTCCCGGGCTCACCTTGACCTGGCTCTCCGTCATCCCCAGGCTGTAGGCCAGCCTCGCGCGCTCCGGTCCCGCCAGGTATTTGGTTTGTTCGAACGTTTTTTCCAGCGCGAAGATCTGCTGACCGGAGAAGGTGGGCCGCGTGTGTTTCCGTTTCCCGTCTTTATCCAGCAGCACCGAATTCTGGTCTGAAACCGGGACAACATGTGAAGATAGCACGGGTTAAAACCAGGCCAGGACACTTTAATAATTAAAAATATTATTATTATTATTATTATTATTATTATTATTATTATTATTAATCAGATATTTATTTGTTTTTAAATTCCCGCCCTGAGCCCTGCTTACACTCACGCGCTGAGCACGCGAACCGGGCGTCCCTCCACGGCGCGCTCTGCATCACTCCGGGCCAGAAGATGGGCGTCCTGCCCGGCAGCTCCGCCAGAGGCTTCGGGTACCGGGCCACGGCCACGGCGGCGGCCCCGGGGCTGAAGTAGAGTCCGTGTGGAGGCGGGGGGCTGAGACTGCTGAACCGGGGCAGACTGGACAGGATCCCAGCGGAGGACGAGGCGGCGGCAACGGCCACCGAGGCTGCGGCGGCGGCGGCCGCAGCAGCGGAGGGCCGGCTCAGGATGTCGTTAATCCCGTGCGGGGTGGCGGAGGAGCTCAGCTGCGGGGAACCAAGCCCCGACGACATCCCCCCGGAGCTCTTGATGCCCGGGGAGGAGCCCGCCATGCCGCCCGGGTTAGGGGAGGTGGTGGCTGGGGAGGTGGAGGAGTTGTGGCCGGGGGAGGAAAGGGGGTAGGCCGGGTACAGCGGGGTCTTCATCTCCGTCATGCTGTGCAGAGCCGCTAACGGAGGGGGGCTGAGGAGGAAGGCGCTCTGTCGGGACCCGTCCATCTGACCCACCGCTAACATCACCGGGGCTGCGCGGGGCCGGACCGGGGGCTGTGCGGGGCCGGGACCGGGGGCTGCGCGGGGCTCTGCCTGCTCCTCACAGTCCGGACTACAGCTGGACCAGAAGCCGCTCCACTCTGGAACTCAAGCCCATCTCAGGACCAGGAACAGGTGAGTCCTGAGAGTTTCTTTGATGAAACAAAAATAAAAATTAATCTCCTCACAGCAGATCTTCCCTCGCAGTCTGTGCGTGCCTGTGCGGGTCTGTGCGGGTCCGGGTCCTCTCTGGTCCTCAGGCAGAGACAATAAAACTGGATCAGATCCTCTATGAGCTAAAGTCCAAACTTTCAGAGAACTGGGGGGTGTCTCTGTCCTGATTGGCTGACCTCTCTGTGACGTAGGGGTGTATAGATTTAGGGAAGCCTCCTGATTGGCTGATCGGATGGAAAAAAAACTCAGATGTTTGTAGAAAGATGAAAAGAGACTCACGAGACTGTGACAGGTTTAATAAAACACCTGTAATAATAAATAACTCACCTGTAACTTTAATAACAGCTGTGATCGCGTGAGTTTATCTCACGTGCCTCTCCTTCACTCTGTCTTTATTTAAATATTATTTATTTTAATTAATGAGTTAATTTATGAATTTACATAAATGTCTTTAAACTCCACAAACAGGAAGTACACACGGAAACACTGATCAGTTTATCAAAATAAGATTTCATGTTTTCTTTTTAAAACTCTGAATCTGTGAAGGTCAAAGTTCAGACACGTGCAGGAAGCTTTAAATTCATAAATTATTAATTAATTAATTAATGACGTCATATTTATAAAACCAGCTGACCTTAAATTAAAGATTTAAACTTTATTTATTTATTTATTTAACAGAGAGATTGATTTGGATTAATCTACAATCGACTGAAATAAAAAAAATCTGTTTGTTATTTATTTTAGTGTATGATTTTAATTTGAATCATTTACTATAATTTTCAAAATAAAAGCCTAACAATTTCTATTTTGAAATACAAAGTAACAGAATTTCAAACCTGTGATTTATCGGGTTTAACTATTTGAATCGTTTGTGGTTGTTTCCGCTGACAAATTCAAATTTAAACGCAGCGTCGACTTTAACCTTTAACCTTTCAAAACAAATGACACTCTTCTCGACCAGCGAAGAGTTAACGATTTATTCAAATAACTAATGAAGATTAACGATTTCACACTTTAATGTTTGACATTTTTAATATTGTGATGTGAAGAGGTTCATGATGCAGTTTGATTTAAGTTTTTTAATAATGTTTCAATTTCTCTGTTTTTAGTTTTATTCTGAAAATCGAGCAAACGTTCGAGCGATTCAATATATTTAATGAGATGAAAGTATCAGACCCTCGGTGATAAATCTTTATTTTTGTTATAAATTATTTTATTTCACTTTTTAATTTATTTCAAATGTTCAGGCAGACAGCGTTCAGCTCCACGCCACCTGGGGGCGCCACGTGCTGGATCAGACACTTTTTTAAATTCAGATTTTAAAAACAAACAAACTGAAAACAATCGTTGAGTTTGAGCCGCTAAGAAGATTTTCATCAATAATTTAAAATGATTGAAGAAACATCACGAGGAGTAAATATAAAAAATAAATAAAAATAAACACGTCGTTGTTTTTATTAACATTTATATTTTATTTTGAAAGTATTTAAATGAGTTCTAAAATTAGATTCACTCGTTTTAAATTACAGGAAGTTAAAACATTATGGAGACATTTATTTAAAGTATTTGAGTCAGAAGAAAGAGATTCAGAATAAAATGATGTTTTAGCTGATTTTAGAGATATACGTGTGTGCGCGCGTGTGTGTGCGCGTGTGTGGGAGATGTTATTTAAAGTCTTTACGTCACGTGGCTCTGATCTTTGTTTCTTATTTATTTTTAAGTTTATTTCTTTAATCGAAGAAACAAGAAACTAAAAACATCAAATCTCAGGTCGTGAATAAAAGAAGAGTAGAAGAAGAATTTAATAACCCCCTCCTCTTTCATCACGAGACGTTCAGAAACACTTCACGTGCACATCGTCTTGAATCACCTTTCATATTCTGAGAGCCGGAAAGAAATGATTCTCATATTTTCTGATAAAACCCTCAAAAAAAGTTTCATTTGACTGAAGACTGCGCTGATACAGGACACACACCTGTAACACCTGTAACACCTCAGACGGCTGAGACGGTAACATCTGAAGCACTTTTCCTTCTTTCTGAAATGTGCTCTATAAATAAACTGACCTCGTCTTACCTGAGACTTCTAACACCTGTAACATCTGCTCTCAGGTCAAACTGGTTTCTTTAAATTGATATAAAGACACATTTTTTAAATATTGTTTTTAACTCTAACTGCATTAAGTTTCTCTTTCTGTCACTCAGAGGATTTCTTAATATTTATCTGTACACACACTCAGTGATACACGATCGCCCCCTGGTGGACTCTTTCAGAACTGCGCAGGCAGCAAGTGAACACATTAAAAACCTTACAGTTTTTTCCAATTGCTAACACACTAAAATGACATGCATAGCACAATTATTTAAACTGACACACAGAGAGCAAGTCTCAAAAAGTCTAAACACATTTTCTGCTTTACACACATTTTGCAATTCAAATTGGCGCTTTTTAAATGCACTGAACACGGTTCTCTGCGTAAGACACAACAATCTGACATAAAGTCACATGTTTGCCATTTCAAAACACTGCCATTCAAAATGACACCACATGAGTAAGCACTATGAAAAGACCACAGGTGAGCACATTTTTTTTTTTACAACAACAAGGGAAGAGGTTGCAGAGAGAGGAAGAGGAAGAGGGAGGGTGAGAATGAGAGGGGGAGGAAGAGTGGGAGGTAAGGGTAGAGCTGGTAGAGGAGGTCATGGCCAAAGAAGAAAACAACTTTCAAATGAAATCAGAGCAAGTTGATCATGTCATCAACCATGGGCTGACAATGTGAGAGGCTGGACAGAGAGCAGCCCAACTCGAGCCGTTTTACTGTACTGGTAAATGTTGCACTGACTTGTTTGGTGAAAAATAAAAAAAATAATGTTTCAACAGCATGTGTGTGTGTCTGCAAATATTTCTGTGCATGTGAACAATCTGAAGAATTTTCTACAATTTGAACTATTTTAGTATTATGACAAAGCATACTAAAGATGAGAGTGCTTTTCATTATGCCCAACAGTGTGTAGTTGGTTAGACAAAAATCTGGTAATATGAATGAAGTGTGCGCCATTTGGTGCAGAAGTTTGATTTTGATAATGCTATATGTAGTTTTGGTTGCAGTGCTTCATTTTGCAGGATATATGAGGTATTCTGCAGTTTGGGTGTGTGGTTTTGTGAATTGTGTTAAGTATTTTGATAAAACCAGCCTAGTTTGCAAAATTGTGTTTTAGCAATTGGAAAAAACTGTAAACAGTACAGAGTCTCATTATGTCATCAGTTTAAATAAAAAGGTTTTGTAAATCATAAACATCAAAAAGCTTCTTAAACGATCAGAAACTTCTTTAAACATGTTTTTATTATTTTATGTCACGTGACCAAAAGATGAAACCATCAGGACTGAGACAAGAAGTCATAAACCAGGAGTCAGGACCCGGCCAGGGTCAAGTCTCCTCTAAGGAGAGGGGGGGAGGGGGTCACTTCCTGTCAGACTAATAAGACTGTAATCATACTGTAATGACTAGTTACTGAGGAACTGTAACAGGGGTTCTCAGAGGGGAGGGGGGTCTGGAGATGCCTTTCAAAAACAATTTTTAAATGATTCAAAATGTCCCGTGCGAAAACAAACACAGAAAAGTAGATTCACTTTAAATAGAAAATAAGTTGTTCAGGGAGATTTGTTCTTAAATTGAATTTAAAATCTTTAAATGTTTGAACACCACGACCTGCGGCTCTTTGCAAACACAAACTCATTGAAGGCCGTTGTTGTTTGGTTCTCATGTCAATGTTTGGATCGGCCTGTTGGCGTTTTAACCACCTCAGGGGGCGGGTCGTCTGTAGCATGGTTCCTTCGGGGGTCCCCGGCTGAAAGTCCAGGACCCCCTGGACTCTAACCTTCAGGACCTCTAGCTGTTTGACGTGTTTATATTAACATCAAACTCAACGGCACCATTTTGAGCTTTAAACTGAATTTAAACTTCTCATGTAGTTTTATTTATTTTACATCATCTTTACTGGTTTTATTTTCTGGATCATCGTTGTTACATTTTAACATTTTAACCTCCCGTCATGAAGGTGTTCCCTCACGCCGTCACTTCCTGTTTTATGTCCTTATTTCTTACCTTGTTCGTGGATTGGGGGGGTTAGGGGGTCATGTTTTTGCTGCTTGATTTCTTCCTCTGTACTTTGTGCTGTATCACTAAGAAATGTGCTTTATAAATACAGTTGTCTAAATCTTCACAAATAAACCTAGAATAGGATTTTAAACTGACCGCTCTTTCTTCAGGCCTATATGGACTTTTATTTAGAATCATTCTCACCTGGACTGGATTTAGATCTGTGATGATCCAGGATGTTTTAAAGTCTAATGAGGTTTTAGTACCTCTCTCTCAATGTTTAAAAGTTTAACTAGACCAAAGTCTAGTCTGTACACGGGGCACCTGCATTAACCACTAGGCTCTGGGCGTACAGAAACTAAAACCACCTTCACGGCCTCATTTCTCTTGATCAATGAATCCTCGAAGCAGCGAAGAGTTCAATCCTTACCTGCTTTGTTTTCTCTTCATGAACGCTTCATTTAATTATATATATTATTATAAATGTTAAAAATGCAGGTTCTAAAGAGAACTCTTTGTATTTATCTGCGTGGAAGAAGGATTTGCAGTCAGACGTCTGGTTCCAGGACCGGGAAAAGACAGCCGTGTTCCTGTTTGTGTTGGATGCTATGAGGGGTTTGGTGCCCTGTATGTGGTGTATGTGGGGATTTCAACAACTCCAGATGTTCTGGAAAGAAGTTCTCCAAATGTTTTGAGTTGTTGGGCAGTTCTTTCCATCACACAGACACCCTGAAGACTTCAATAAATGTGAGGAAACAAACTAATCACTTCCTGTTACAGGCTCAACAGGTAATTCACTTATCCCTCAGGCATCAGTTTAATTTACTACCCTCTAAGTCACTAAAAACAAAAATGTCCATGCCAAAAAAACTGCTATAAAATAGAACAGATTGATATTTTTTTTCTGCATAAATCTCTTAAAACAACTTCAGCCCTACTTGATAAATATTTCAAGTTCAGAACATGAACACGCCGATACACCTTCCCGTCACGCTCACACAAAGTGAGATTCAATTCTTGTAATCAGACGAGCTGCACATTTGAGTCAGTGAGAATATAAATATTAACGTAGAGATTTTATCTGGTTGATTCAAACAAAGTGAAACACTGCAACATCAACCAGCTGTGGACTGAAACATGATGCTCAGACACTCCTGATGTAACCAGCCAATCAGCATCCTTTGCTCGTTAACCTCAGTGTGTAGAAATAAAGAGCCTCGGGCAGAGCGGGATTAACATGTGTACGAGCTTTATTCAGTTTTTACTCCCGGGCCATGAGCTTCTGCTTCTTCAGCTTCTTCTGTGAAACCTGTGGACACAAACAAAGAGTCATGAAGGCAGCACACACGGGCGCTGTGCGGTCGGGCACGAAGCCGAGCCGCTCAGAGTTAACGTGTTATTTTCATCATTTATCCAAAGGTGTCCTAAGATGTCATCAGTGCAGCTCCACGGTGCGTTCAGGGACATTAACGAGAGACGTACCTTCTTCTTCTGGGCGACCTCCTCCTCGGGTTTGGGGACGATCTGCTCCTTCTCCGTCAGGATCATCTCGATGTGACACGGGGAGCTCATGTATGGGTTGATGCGACCGTGAGCACGGTACGTACGCCTCCTCATCTTTGGCGCCTTGTTCACCTGGATGTGCTCGATGACCAGAGAGTCCACGTCAAGACCCTGAAGACAGCAGAGACGGGTCAGAAACATCAGGAGGTCAGACAAAGCGTTTCTAACAGCACGAGAGCGTGGCATGGTGCAGGTGGTCAAACTGATGTGTGGTGCTTTTATTTTGAAGGAGGACAAACTGAAGTGTAGAGCTTTTATTTTGAAGGTGGACAAACTGAAGTGTGGTGTTTTGTATTGACGAGCTGTTGACTGAAATCTCAACACTCAGACTCATCAATAAACAGGCGGCTTTGCTTCCCGTTGGGACGCTCCAATAAAGAACCATCACGCGCTGAGAGAGTAAAAAACTAACGGGTGTCTGAATGCATCGTGTTAGCGTCCACAGAGTGAGGAGGAGATCGCTCAGATATTCTCATTTCTTTTCATGGTAAATACAAAGGTGTCCTAAATTGTCATCACTGCGATCTCCGTCACATCACACGCGACGCTTCATAGCGTGCGTCGGAGGCCGGGGTCAGCCTTTCCCTCGCCTGAAGTATCAAACATCAGAGAGTTCAGAGACACCAGGTGGTCTTTGTCTTACTTGTTGGGACCGACAGGAACGCTTTGTGTTATGAAGTCAGAGGGTTTCAGACGTACCTTGAGCTCAGCGTTGCTCTCGGCGTTCTTCAGCATGTGCAGGAGGAACTCGGCGCTCTTCTTGGGCCAGCGTCCCTGCGTCCAGCCGAACTGTTTGGCCTGAAAAAGAGACAAACGTCTGGTCAGAGATCACGTTCTACCTGTGAGCGTTTAGCGCAGGCGACGCGGCGCTGCTCAGAATTTTAGAGTGTTGTTTTCATCTTTAATCCAAAGGTGTCCTAAGATGGTCATCACAGCAGAGCCATCACAACCAGACGTGTGATTGGCTGGAGTCGGAGCTCACCTGGGCACACCTGCCCACTCCTCCGTTGTAACGGCGGAACGGGACACACTGGTGCTTGACGACCACGTCCCTCAGGTACTTGTTGGCCTTGCGGATGTGCATGCCCTTGATGGCCTGGGCTGTCTCACGGGTGTTCTGGTGAGAGAAACAAACGCACACAAAATGCGTCACAATGAGAGTTATTATTTGTGTCTCAAGTCTGCAGAAAACATCCGACAGCGCTGGAAGTGATCGACTGTCTGATTCTTAAGGCGAGACTTTCTTTGTGGTCAACAAATTCCAGTCAGAGTCAAAAGATTGACCTGCAACCAGCAACTAGTCCCAGTGACAGGTTAGCCCTGAGGTTAGCTACAACCCCCTTTGAACGTTTGATTTGTACTTAATTATTTATTTAAAAATACTCTGAGTCACAGATTCACAGTGAGGAGATCGCTCAGATATTCTCATTTCTTTTCATGGTTAATACAAAATTTTCCTAAATTGTCATCACTGCGATCTCCTTCACGTCACACACACACACACTGAAGCGTCACATGTCTGAGGACAGTTTTTGAGTACGAGACGGGCGCACACGGGTCATACTTAAAAGCCCCACAATGCTCTGCAGGAGACATCCAGGAATTTTGGACAAACTTAAAGATCTCACACACACTTTGACTAAATCAGTGCAAACTACTTGGGACAGTAGGAGGTTTTAGAAAACAGTCAATGACGTCAGATTGTACTACATACTCAACGTGACGTCATATGAAGGTGTGCAGATAATGATCTCTCATCACTGATTGGTTGCATCCTCATTGCGAGCTGTTTTTGCATCTCGCTCGACATAAACAGGAGAAACCTTCATGATGAAAGTTTTAATTAACAAAACAAACTTCTTACCTTGAAGTGAACCCGGAGGTTGGAGCCCCTCGACTTGCATGCTGAATGAACACAGAGAGAAACATTAGACACGAGCAGTTCTCAGGTGCACCACGTGTGGTTTAAGATAAACCAGGTGTTAGCTCAGGTGTGATTCTGTTTTGTTTTCATGATTTATCCAAAGGTGTCCTAAGAAGTCATCACAGCTAACGTGCTAGCACACAAACACTCACATGCGCACTTTACTCACATTTAGTCGGGTTCTCGGGGTCGAGAGAGTAGCGGACCATTTTCAGAAATCTGCGGGATGAAGAATGAAATATAATTAATTAGTCTTTAATTACAGAGTTAATTCATTTAAAGCTGCTAGTGACGCTTAGCTGCTCCGTTAGCATTTCCTCGGCTTAGCATCGGCTGCAGTGATTAATAAGAGTCACTAACACTTTTAAGAGGAACCAGAACTAAAAGATAAGATTGTAAAACAAACGAATCACGGGTAGAAGAGAGAAATTAGCGCTGGGGAGGCTTAATTTAGTTCAGTTTCATCTGCAAACAGATCCAACATGGCGGACATGTTAACCAGCCACGAACCCGGTGTCTCCACAAACATCAAGTTATCAGTTAAATATCGACTCAGAACACAAAACTATAACAACATCTGAGTGTTTAAATCATCGTAAATAAAACTCCGTGGATTTAGAAGCAGGATGGTGAAGATTTAATGAAGATTAAAGACAGATTCTGTTCGTCCCATGACGGGCTGGTCTCTTACCTCTGAGGCCGCTGAAGGAAGAGGAAGAGCCGGGGACTGCGTCGCTCTTCTTCTGCTTCTTGTGAAGGTTACCGCCCCCTGCTGGTGAGGAGGAGAACAGCGCAGCAGCTGCTTCTTGTCGTCTCCTTTACCCTCTGAACTGGATTGTGGACCGGAAGTAATCTATTTATTTGTTTACTCTTGTTTTGAGTCTAAATAAATCTATTTTTTACCAGCTCTGAATTCAGCTGTAACCATTCAGTTAGCTGTGATCTTTTTCCAGTTTGTATTTTAGAGTCTGTCGTTGATGACATGTTTACCTGCCTCCTCCTGACCGCGGAGCTCACACCTGATGGATGTTCACTAGCAGCCACAAACGTGGAGCATCTTGTGAAGTTATACTTTAGTAAAGATTTCACAAATAAGGAAACACTTCCTTGTGTAGTCGGTAAAAACTGTTTCGTGTTGGGGCTTTCCTTATGCAGAAATGAAACTAAACAAGCTTTTGGCACATCATCATCATCTTCACATTGTCATAAAACATCAGGACCCTGAAAAGAAACTGAAGAAAGAACCACACTGACTCGGAGGAAGTTGTGTCTTTCGTGTTTTTCGCTCTTCTGATAGGCTACAACCTTGCAGAATAATAATTTACATAAAATAGCCTAATTTAAATTGATTTACGAATTTATTCTCTTAAATTTCCAAGGTTAACGTAATGAATTTATGACTTTATTCTCGTACATTTACGGATTTAATCCATAGACTGTAAATATTACGGTTTAATCTCGAGATTAGAGATTAGATTTCTTTAACGTGGCCCTAATCCTCCGTCGTAGGACCATTTGTCTCCTTCCTGTTTGTCTCTGCTCTCCTCGCTCCCTCTTACCTTTGGATGTTGTGATAATTCCTCCCTTTATTTTCTTCTGCCCTCAGGCTGCAGTGAGCGTGTTCGGACAGCAGGTGGTGCTGTTCGACAGCTCACCATTTCATCACACATCAACATTTACTTTTTTATTTATTTAATGTCAGAAAATCCTTCATGTTTTATTGTTTTCATTTTAAATCATTACTTGAAGAGAAACGTAACTTTATTCTTACACCTGAACGCTCTCGTCTCTGTCTTCACCAAACTGGCAAAAGTTTAAAAAAAAAGTAATAATTCTATTAAAAAAAAAATGTTTTAGAATTCTATAAATTCATTATTTTTATTTCATATTTCTGACGTTGGAAGCTGGATTAGTTTTACATTTTACAATCCTCATGTTGTAAAAAAAATGTTTTCACTTGGATTTAAACTCTCAGATATGCTTCAAACAGTTTCTCACTCGTCTCTGATAAGAAACTCAATCTGACACTTTAGTGAACAACTGGTCGCTCTATGGATATCATGATCTGAAAATATTTAGCAATAAAATTATAATATCTGAAATCTCAGTCAAGCTGCTCATTTTAAGTCAGGGTTGGTAATTTTCTCCACTTTTTCAGATTTTGATTGAAATTTTTTTTAGGTCCTGACAGAAATTAATAATTCATGTTCTCTGAAAAAGGAACAAAGAAAATCCGTCATCTGTATCCGTTGTAAGCATGTAAAAACTTCCACCAATGTCTGCCACGAGGTACCAATCTGATGAACCAATCACACGCCTCCCTGTCTCCCTGCTCGCTCTCTACCTCTTGAGTGCTTTAGCCCACACTCAAAGCATGAGCTGAGCTCCGCTTCTGGAGCAGCAGCGCTCGTGCATGTAAGTGAGGGGGCGTGGCTTTTGAAGGAGCACAGAGGGGAAGGGGTGGTGGGCGTAGGCAGATCACTGAGGAAATGCTACTTTTAAAATCATTTTAGTTTTAGAAAATGACCAACCCTGCCTTTAAAGGTCACATATTCTGTAGAATCCACTTCTCCATATTTCTCTAACACTAACACGTGTCTCTAGTTTGTCTACAACCCCAATGTGTGCTCAAACAGGCCGTTTGGCGATTTTCCCTTCATGACATCACAAAGGGCAGTAACCCCTCCCCAGGTGGGTGACACTCCCACAGCTAGGTGTTTGTTCTGCCCTCTGAGTCTGCCTTCTCACCGTAAACAATAGGACATGGAGCGAGAATGCCCGAGACACCCAAGCCCTTCCAGGGAGGGGGCGTGGTCAGACACAGCTCATTTACATATTTAAAGGTACAGACACAGAAACAGCCTGTTCTGAGCAGGGCTGAAATAGAGGGGTTTATAGACATGATCAAATACAGGATCAGAGTGAATTTAGAACAAGAAACTTCACACACATGTTTTGAGGAGCTCTGAGACTTATTTAAAGAGGAGGAGGAGAATAAAGAGGTCACACACAGGTGGGTGGTACTAAAGCCAGCAGTCGGTTTATTTGGTTGGTTCGCGTCGTCCTGTGAGATGTTCATCAGCTACATAGAAAACCCCGTGTGCACCCTCACCGTGAGTCATGCACAACATTGCACAGAAAATCAAGTCAAAGCCGAGTGTCAACATATAAAAATAAAGATATTATTTACATCAGAGAACACAAAAAACCCTCAACACAGAGAAACAAGAGAGAGCACACAGGAAGTGACGCACCTGATGTTCTTTTTCTCTGCTTTAAATACACGCAGTCTGTTTGGGAGGACACGGTTCAGCCGGAGAAGATAAATATCTGTACACGCCCTCACCCACCTCGCACATCAGAGAGCTTTACAAACGTCTTAACTTTTATCATGCTGCACCAAACCTCTGTACAAAAACGGCTGAACAAAGACAAACGACGAGGACTGCATGTTGTTCTTTGAGATGCCACATGGACGTCGACATCGTCCAAACATCGTCCAGTAATACACAGAACAGCCTCTGGTGCGGGCGCAGTATTCTCTCAAACGATGGAAACGTTCTGGAGCTCTCAGGACGGTTTCTGGAGCGCATCTGAAACCTCATATTTATTTTTATCTGCCCATGTCCCTCTGGGGCCTCCGTACCCGTACAGTCCATTTCACACATCTCCTCCCCTGACCTCTGACACTCGCTGACGTGGCAGAAACGTGGCTGACAGGTTTTTAAAAATACGTTTCAAAGTCCTCCTGGTTATCGTTATGAAATCATCCGTCAAGAGTTCTGTTCAGTCTGAGTAAAAAAAGTGGAGACATGTCGGCTGTTTCTGACGACATCCAGGGAACGTCTGAACCATGAAGTGACGGGATGCTACCGTGACGACCAGGCGAAAAAGTTGTGCTCATCAAAGTCCTTAAGTACTGTTCATGAGGCGACAGGAAGCGGCCGCATAACCTGCAACAGAAGACGAAGGTTATTCTCCTGAGAGGATCGCTCAGTATATATTTTTATCAGTGAGCATGTAAGAAGTGAAAACAGCCTTTAGTTTCATAGTGAACATATTAAACCTGCACTACTTCTAATGGCCAGCAGGCTGTGCCCTCAGGAGCGCTAGGACGAAGCGCTGAGAATAAAGCGCTGCACGTCTCTATGACAACGGTCTTGCATGGCTGCATGAAAAAAGGCGGAGCGCTCAGAAAACAGATTTGGGTGCTGCACCTTTTCTCCAAGTGAGATAGAAGTCTGTTGATTTATTAATGAGTTTATGTTAGCTAAAGTTTCTGGTTTGGGATATGATGTTAAATTAGATTCAGACTCAAAGGGACAATTTAAATCGATTTGACAAAAATATATACTACAATAATCTTTTTTAACCAGCAGAGGGCGGCTTCTCTAGGTTCGACATCAGTAGCTGAAGAAGAAGAGGAGTACAGACATTAGAGTGTGTGTGTAACGGGTGGAGAGGACGTACCTGTGAGGCAGTGATCCCGTGTGCGTCCTTCAGCTGCAGGCAGGGCGAGGGGAGAGGGGGAGGGGGGGAGTGGCAGGTTGACGGTCGGAGGAGTCAGGTGAGACAGGTGGAGGAGGACGAGGAGGCTCAGGTGATCACTTGAGGCAAGGGCTGAGCGCGGTGGGAGCGGGGGGGTAAACCAGAGCCACGTTGACCCGCTCGGAGCCATTCTTCGGACAGACGATCTCCGTCAGACCATCGGGCCGTGGCTGGCTCAGCAGCTCACCTGAAACACAAACAGGAAGTTCAGCCTGTTAGAACTTTAGCGTCAAATGTCTCGCTTTATAGAAACAGTCCGGGTGAAACACACCTGGATCATCAGGTGACTGAGCCTGACGCTCTGAGATCAAATTCACAGGACAAAGACAGCTCACTGCAGAGTTAAGGATTACATTAAGGACGTTACATGTTTCCCCCACTAGAGGGCAGTAAGTCCACACTGTGACTGTTTCAGAGCAGATCAGAGAGAGAACCAGCAGGGGGCACTGTAAAGTTCAGAAAAAGAGACAAACAGTACTCCTGAGTCTGTCAATGAAGAGGATGAAGAGAATCTTTGCTTTGTCTGTTTGTTTGGAGGTGGGAGGGTCCGGTGTTTCTCCTGTGAGTCTTAACTGAGGAC